CACTTATTAAGACACCTACATATCACGAACATCAGTTTAAATGGTAAGCATTGTTAAAAATATTTGCTAACCCTTTACTTTACATATATAGACGCTTCAGCTTCCTTCTGTCAGACAAGGGCTGTTATCTTCCTCTTCCAAACATACCAGACTCCATTGATAAAAACATGTCAATTTTAGCCCATGCCAATGGCAGAAGTTTGCGTGGTCTACTCCGTTGCCGTAGACACGTTAGTATGTGTTATCGCTCGGTGGCGACTTTGCGTGGAATCTGAATAACCCTTTAAAAGCACAAAAGCTTCTCACATCTAAGTAAACACTAACTGTTGGAACGGCCAGTTGCATCGCGAGGTACCACATGACTCTCCTCTTCCCTTGTCTTGTTTTCTTTCACAGTTTGTATCTCCTGGGTCGAATGTACTTATTGGTAAGTCGCTTTGGATAAAAGCGTTCAGCTAAATTGCAATGTACGTGTATGGCAGATATCGGCGGATTTGAAGATAGCATAGATACAGGTGATATACAGTAACTAGTTCGACTTCAGCCTTTGCTCATGTTGCCGTAAGTCATGTGTGGTTCTAAAAACTTGGGGCGTCACCACCCACATATCTACTACACTGACAGTATAGGATCTAACTTCAGTGTTGTGCTAGTTACGAAACCAGTAACTAGGTTACCCATACTATGTTAACTCTCATTTGCAAAAGTAACACTCCAGTTAGCTTTACTGACTTACTAGCACGCCCAAAACGCTGTGAAGCAGTAATGCATTAGTTACTGTTAAAACAAGCCGGCTGCGCCACAGATTCTAACTGCCTTTATACTCGCGCCTTGCATTTCAGCTACTGTTATTGGCATTGGAGAATAATACCAATCTGGTTGATTCAAGAAATACGCAAATCAGAAATACGTAGAAAACTTTACCTCTGGCAAATTGTGTTCTACAAGCATGACGCGTGCAATGGCTTTAATCAACTTTCCTCGGTTAAATATCGCAGCCGCGTGTTGCTTAGGTGGAGTAGGCGTCGGCGAGTCTGGGTCGTGTGGTGCTTAGCTACTAGCCTGATCGTCCCAGCATGTTGTTTCTAGACAGATATTTTCAACCAGATTGTGAATTGGCTGTTTTGGGCAGTAAAGATAGAGGGGATGCTTTGACCCGCCAAGACCAGGACATACATTGTACACGTAAAACGTTCTTTTGCTTTTGTGCTCGGACAAACAGTGAAATAGTGGGAATATCCTCCAGGCGGAGAATCATCGACTTGAGCCCCGCCGCCGGGCCATGATACGTCTTGTTAGTAAACACAAACACGGCCCAGCAGCGTGTTCCGCTCTCGCGCATGTTGAGGCAAGGAGTATCTAGCATTTATTCAAGTACGTCGTACGCTCTAAAGGTACAGTTTCATCTGCAATGTTCGGCCCTCGCTGTTCGGCCGGCTCCACCACAGGCACCAAACGTCTGGGAGTCCGACGACTATAGTACAAAAAAAGTAACGAGTAACGCACCATATTGAACGGCAACTGAGTTAGCTGGAATTTTAGAAAAAAGATGTGTTAGAGTAGCGTTATTTACTGCCAAAAATAGAGCGTGTTACAGTAACCGGCGCTGTAGTCCGGCAAACACTGTACACAGGGACACGTGCACGAGACTTGTGCGAGGGCCTTATTGCTCTAAACTAAAAAGAAAGGGCGTCCGCGCCCGCGATAAAAATAACACAAGGACCTTTTGAAAATTGTAATGCGTTGTTTGTTAAATGTAAAAGAAACCAAAACGATTATTAACAGTCAACTAACATTGAAGCAGTATTCACATCTCACGAAAAGTAAGCTATAGGGCGACACTTGCATTCGTGACCTGTGATTTTCAAAGAATGAAACCAGGGACATTTTTTGTTTTGGCGGCGCGCATCATGCGTCGATCAAAATAATATCTAATGTTAGTAACTATTGTAACAGACAAAATAGGGGACAATTCTGTTCTAGATGTAGTAATGTAACTGTTGTGCAGATCAAAATGTACTGACAATAAAATAGGGCCTCTACTAATTCCGTTAAGATAAACTCGACTAATTAATAAGAGCCGCAGGTACGGCATTTATTCTCATGTTCTGTATCATTCCTTCCGTAATGAGGCGCAGAATGCGAAGGGCTATCTAATTAGCTTCATTTATTCTAGTATTCCAATAACTTAGTAAGCAGAGAATGATCAAACTAAAGCTGCGTAAGAGACATGGCAGGAAATCCTACAATCGAAGCAGGCGAACAGTTGAAGCTGTTCACGCCCGTTAGAGGGCGAGATCAAGAAAAGAGAGCGACGGGCCCCGTTTGAGGGAGTTTACAGATGAAATCAGTACGGCAGCACAATAAGCAACAAGTAGGCTATATTTAGTGTTTTTGTAGAATAAACGGACGGTATCGAAGAGGAAGTAACAGGTCCATCCTGGTTGTGTCGCTTATGACCTTACACTGCCATGAGAGGCACCTCAAAAATGCAAGTTTCCAAAATCTGACACTGAGGTGGTCTTAACGGCACCGCAGATGAGGCAACGCTGACGAACAAAGTGTGTTTCGCCGCAAAGAGACCTAATACTCAAGTTGTCGAGGTTTTATGCTGATGATTCGCGCCACACCAGAAAACAGAAAAACAAACTCTCCTCTCTCCAGGAGGGGCAGGTCAGCCAAAAAGGCAAATGGGGCCAGTTGTCCCCCGGGCAACATTAGCCCCGTACCTGTGCCACGTCCCTGACTGTAGCATATTATTTACAACGCCGGACCCAACCCCACTTTGAAACAAATACGAACACGTATTGAGGAAACTGACCAGGTTTGGAAATAGCAACACGTTATGTTGGTGTATGAATTCCTTTCTTTGTTTCGCGCCCTTTGACACAGGCAATTAAAGCCTCGCGCAGTCGCCGCCACTCCTGGCTCTGACCGCCATTTCATCTCCTGGGCTCTGCTGTGTCTGTGATTCAGTTGTGTGGCCGCTGTAAATTCGTTTTTCTCGGGGGCAGGAAAAGGTATTACCTTATTCTTTAGGGATTATCCCCACTAAAATTATCACTTACGACGTTTTTCC